GGTAGAGGTGGGCGGGGGCGTCTAGCTGTGCACGCTGCCCCCATTAGCCTGTGCCATCAGAAGCATCTCTCGGGGGCCTGAGCACAGTATAGCGGGCAGGGCATTTGCCTTGCATGTGGCTGACCCGGATTTGGTCCCTGGCACCCCACAGGGTCCCCTGCACCTGCTAGGAGTGATCCCGAGTGCAGAGTCAGGGGTCAGCCCTCCAAGCACTGCTGGGTGCGGCCCCCAAATAAAAACAGTTAAAAAAAAAAAGAACAAAAAAAGCATCTCTCTGGTATCTCTCCCTCCAGGTCAAGCCACCCCCGGCTGTGTTCTTTTTTATTTATTTTTAAATATTTTTAAAAAATTGAATCACAGTTGAGAAACACAGTTACAAAGCAATTCATGATTGGGTTTTAGTTATACAGTGCCCCAACAACTGTCCCTTCACCAGTGTACATTTTCTACCACCAATGTCCCCAGTTTCCCTCCCACCCCCCACCCCCATCTGCCTCTATGGCAGGCACTTTTTTCCTTCCCTTCCTCCCTCTTTCCTTTTAGGTCGTGTGGTTTGCAATACTCATACTGAAAGGGTATCATAGTATTCCTTTACCTACTTTCAACACTCAGTTCCGATCCCAAATGATCATTGACCATTTCCAACTAGTATTTTTATACTGGTCCCTTCTCTATCCTGACTATCCTTCGTCCCCAGACACTGTTGTGGCAAGCTTCCAACCACTGACCAGTCCTCCTGGCCCCATTTTCCCTGGCTTTGGACATTAAGAGCTGTGTTCTGGAGGGCAAGTGCCCTCCCCCAAGGATCCAGCAGGGGCAGCACTCAGGGCTGAAGGACTCTTTGCTCTGCATAGAACTGTCAGGAACTAGCAGGTGAGAAAGGACCTGTGGGCCAGTCCCTACCCAGAAGCCTTCCCAGCGGAAAGAAAAGAAAGGGAAAGGGGCTGGAGCAATAGCACAGTGGGTAGGGCGTTTGCCTTGCATGCGGCCAACCCGGGTTCGATTCCCAGCATCCCATATGGTCCCCTGAGCACCACCAGGAGTGATTCTTGAGTGCAGAGCCAGGAATGTAACCCCTGTGCATTGCTGGGTGTGACAAAAGAAGAGGAGGAGGGGGAGGGGGAAGGGGAGGAGGAAGAGGAAGAAGAGGTAGAGGAAGAGGAAGATGAGGAAGAGGAGGAGGAAGGAGGAGCAGAAGGAAGAGGAGGAGGAGGAAGGAGGAGGAAGAGGAGGAGGGGAGGAGGAAGGAGGAGCAGGAGAAAGAGGAGGAGGAGGAAGGAGGAGGAAGAGGAAGAGGAGGAGGGGAGGAGGAAGGAGGAGCAGGAGGAAGAGGAGGAGGAGGAAGGAGGAGGAAGAGGAAGAGGAGGAGGGGGAGGGGGAGGAAGAGGAGGAGGAAGTGGAGGAAGAGGAGGAGGAAGTGGAGGAGGAGGAGGAGGAGGAGGAGAAGGAGAAGGAGAAGAAGGAGAAGGAGGAGAAGCCCTTTGTTTCCACCGTTCGTGCTAGGGGTTCTCGGCCTGGGCTAGCTCCTGGCATATAAAGCATCTTAGGAAAAGGGTCTCAGCACTGCCCTGAGCCCATCCTGTTAAATCCCAGGGACCCCCGAGCCTCTTCTCAGTCTTCGCAGGCTCTGAACCCTCACACTGAACTTCGAAGTCTTTGGAGCACCCCTTGCCCTCTGCTGTCCCTGGGGCTCTCGTCGCTGCAAAGGTGAAGACAGACACGTGTGGGCTTTAGCCCCTTGCCTTTGTCATGTGACTCCCTGCCAGGCGTCCAGGGGGTCTGTGCAAGGCCCAGTCATGGTGGGGTCAGGGTGCTCACCAGCTGGGATTGGGGGGTGTCTAGGTGATCCCCTACAGGCTCCAGTGTTGGGGAGACTGCTGCCACCCACATGGTCAGGAGGATGATATTGGGGGGATTCTGACCACGGGGTGCCCCCATTCCACCAGGTGCCAGTGGTCGCTGAGGGCCCAAAGATGTGAAACAGGAAGAGGAAGAGGGAATGGGGGGAGCTGGCAAGCAGGATGGGGAGGGGAAGGGGCACGGACCCATGCCATCCACTCCTGCCCACCAGGCCCAACCTGACGGGCGGTTGTGCAAATCCCGAGCTCAACCCAGCTGGTGCCGTGGGCAGCTGGGCATGGAGGGGTAGGGGATAATTCTGCTGACCTCTGGCCATGACCTCAGGGAAAGTGATGTCTGAGCAATGGGATGGGAATAAATGATCCCTCCTTCAGTCTGTCCCAAGACCGAGGGCCGGTCTCAGTCCCCGTGTCCAGTGTAACCAGTGCTGGGCCCTGGGGACCCAGAGGTCTGCAGTCTGCTCTCCTGCCGGGACTCTGGGAGCCTTTGGATCCTGAGGACCCAGCCACACTGCCACGTCAGAGCTGAATTAGGTCCCAGCCTCGTAGGGCTGAAGAGAGGGGGAGGGCATGTAGGCAGAGTCCTCAGGGGGGAGGATCTGCATCCAGGTTGTGCCTTACAACAATCTAGAATTGTGATACGGGCCCACCCCTTGGTGCTAGAAGGATGGGGGTTGGCGGGGGTAAACACACGTGCAATTGGGAGGTGAGTTCTGTTTGCTTAAAGAAAGTAGATTTGGGGCTGGGGAGATAGCACAGTGGGTAGGGCGTTTGCCTTGCACGCGGCCGACCTGAGTTAGATTCCCAGCATCCCATATGGTCCCTGAGCACCGCCATGAGTAACTCCTGAGTGCAGAGCCAGGAGTAACCCCTGTGCATCGCCAGGTGTGACCCAAAAAGCAAAAAAAAAAAAAAAAAAAAAAAAAAAAATTAGATTTGGGGGATGGCCTGAGAGATTGTTTTTGTCTGAAAATGGGGTGGTCAGTCGGCCAGATACCTTTGAGAACCTCCAAATCCCTGAAGAACCAAGGAGAGCTGGTCAGACGTCTTCAAGGGCAGGTGTTCCTGCACTGTTTCAAATGAGCACACATGGACGCTCACTGGGGGATTGCAGTTCCCCCAGCTTCTGTTTTCCTGTTCAGTTCTGCTTTGGCTAACAGAACCAAACAGAGGTTTAGACAAAGAAATCGTGGCTGGTGGGTGAGTACCACAATATTGGGAGGAGAAAAAGAACACGAGTAGCTCCTTTTTGTTTTCCATTGCACCTTTATTTACTCTTTTCACTGTTCAACATTTTCATACAGTCTTTCTGGAATCACATAGTGCTTGTTAGCTGCTTCCCTCCCCCCATCCCATTTCCTTCCTTTCTAACCAGCCTCCTTGGGCATCTCCCTATTGCATCACATCCTGCAGTGACTGGAGGGGTGCAGCTTAGCTTAGGGAGAGGTGCAGAGCCACGCCCAGGGAAGCCTGTGGGGTGCACATCCGGGCCCTGGATAGTCCCTTTGTTCACTTGCTCCCTCTCCGCCTCCTTCCCCAGCGGACACTGCGGGGATCTGGATGTCACCCCAGGATCAGGTCCCTGTAGCCTGCTGACCCCTACGGGACTACAGAACCCCAAGGACAGGGTCTGGGTCCTAACTCACTACTCGCGGATACACTTCCTGGTCTTACTGAACGCTCCTTTCTCTTACTGGCCCTTCCCCTGGGCTACTACGTGATTCAGTAACATCAGGGCTATTAACTGGGCACACAGAGCATTCCCAGTCTTGCCAGCTTGCTTCTCTCTGGTAGGGAAGGCCAGCATCAGGGGCTTTAAGATCTAGAAGAGTCCGGTCCTTAGCAGAGCCCAGAAATGACTGTCCGGGTTGGAATTTCAGAGCCCACCACTTGGGGAAGGGACAATCTGGTGGCAGAGTCTCTCCTGACACACTCTGAATCCATGTAGGTGGGCGGCTGCTGCTTTGGCCCATGGGCAGGGCTGGCGCAGGCAGGCGGATTCTGCCACTCTCTTTAAGGCTGCTCTCTACAGACACAAAAGCCTGTGGGCAAACAGGGCAAACTAGTATTGACCCCACATCCCAGCCAGCAAGGAAGTGGCCTCAAGTAGTCCAATGGGGTGAGTGTCACGAAGCACAAAGATCATCTAGGGCTGTCGTTAGGCCCCTTTTCCATGCCCGGGATGTGCCACCTGTCAGGGGTGGCCTCAGAGTCTGAAATAGCCCACATGAACTCTCCTGGGGAAGGTGGGGGGGATCCATGTGTTTTTACACCCACCTTCCTCCCCAAGGCGGCTCACTGAGGAAGGAATTATGCACCAAATGCTAAGCTGTTCTTCTTGGACGAGGCCATTAAAATCAAAATCTGATCAACAAATGGTCACAAGAATGAAATAATGGTGCCCACAGGAAACCCAAAGTCCTAGGGTTCATCTGCAAAGACACAGGCATTCCCACTGGTAGTCCTTGTAAAATGGTTGTGTGTGTGTGTATGTGTGTGTGTGCGTTTGAAGCTGATCTCTCATTCAGCCCTTGTTCATGCATCATTCTCGGTAAGGACACGGTACCCCTAAAGTCCACACACCCACAGTCGTTTTAAATCTCGGATTGAGTAACGAAAGGCCACTCAATGGACAATCTTAAAACATGCACCAACCAAGACCACGGCTGGTATTATGGAAAAATATCCTCCAGGTTAAGTAGAGAGAGACAGAGACAAAGAGATGGGGGGGGGGGGAGGCAGGGAGGTACAGAAGGATGACGCATGTGAAGAGAGGTAAGTCTGTGATGGCGACACAACAGAATGTCTGTGGTCCAGGGGAAAGCAGATGGAAGCAAGGAAAGCTCTATGAATCCAGGAGCGCCTCTCCCAATATTTGGTTCATGCTAAAAAATAGAGCACATTTATTAAAAATATATCTTTATAAACCTTAATACGAACAGAGAACACACATCAAGCCAATGAAAAAAGAAAAATAAGTTATCTCCGGGTATCAAATAGACACTTGTGATGGATGGGATGTCGACCCAAGGACTGCGTGGGTGGTTTCTCCTACTGATCGGGGGGTGAAGATGAGCAGCGCGGCATCCTGGGGGATACACGGACCAGCGCCGGAGGGGTCAGCAGGCCGGGCCGATGGATTCCTGCACCCGTGCGCTCCATACGTTTTCAGAGGCGGGGCTTCCCTGGGCTCTTCCGGGCCCCGGGCCAAGGATGCAGAGTTCCTCGAGGGGTGAATGAGTTTCGTGGGATTCATTGTGCTTTAGGGTTCGCTCCTGGCGGCAGGAGAGACTTATTTCTGGGCCCTTTGACAAAGTTCGAAGGTGCAGCTGTTCCTGTGTGTGCGGCCACGTGAGCCCGCCGGCTCGGGGTTGGGCTTCTGGTCGACCCACACAGTGGCCTCCCATTGCCTGGGGGCCATTCATAGAGTGGTGTATATGTACACAAAGATGATCACGACGAGGTTCAGGATGGTCCCGATAATGCCCAGCATCGCCAAGACACTCTCCTCTTTGCTCTCTTTCTCCTGGCCCCCTCTATCTTCATCATTGCCACTCGTGAGCACCATCTTGGTGGCAAATGTCTTTATCTTCCTCCCCAGGCTAACCTGTAATGGGAAAGAGGCAGCACAAAGGATTATCGTTTAGAAGGTCACCATCGAAGCCAGGCAGGTAGGAGAGGGTGTGTGTGTGTGTGTGTGTGTGTGTGTCTGTGTGTGTGTGCGGCGTGCACATGTGTGTGTTTCTGCATGTGTGTATGTGCGTGTGTGTGTGTCTGTCTGTCTGTCTTGGGGTGCTGTCAGCCTGAGGACCAGATCACAGTGGGATGATAACTCACCATGAGCCCATCTAGAGACTCAGCCCTCAGCGGTGGAGAAATGGCAGAGTTGATGAATCTCAAGGCTGCCATTGGTATAAAGGTGGGGGCCCCCGAGTCCAACCTAGGGGCCCCACCAACTGTAGGGAGTGGGACTCCCCATCTCCTGAAACAGAAGAAGAATCTGCACTGTTCAGTTTCTCCTCCCTCCCATGAGGGGGCTTCACACTCGCTCCTGCACTGGCTCCCCCCAGGAAACGTGTCTTCCTGTGCATGCACGAAGTGTGGGGGATGGGATTGCTGCACCTGTGGGGGATGGAATCACTGCGTCTCCACTGAGCACTGGCTGTGATAAGGAGCAGATGCAGTTTAATAGAAAATAGTTTACTAAGAGCTGGCAGTAGAGCTCAAAGCACAAGACAGTGTCACAGCCATGAGCGGGCATATTCACAGGAGGCGTGACTGGAATGTCTCCTAGTGCTGAGTCTTACCTGACATGCAAGCAGGCGTCACCTAGGTCCTGCACCTGAAAACCTGGAGATAGGGGCAGGAATGTTCCTCTAATGCCCCTACCAGATTCACAGGTGATAGCAGGGGATTGGGGGCGTGGCCAGAGTACGCCTCAAGGGCAGGGCAGTAGACGAGCTAGGGCTGAAGTGGACATCACGAAACAGTTTAATGAATGGGTCTACACAAGGCAACGCGGATACTTAACCAAGAGTGAAAAAGCATGTGGGGCCAGAAAGAGTGATCCCCCTCATGAAAACCCAAACCAGGCCACACCAAGCAATATATGACCACCAAAGACATAATTTTTTAAATGACTTTTATATAGCAAAGGGGCCTGAGGACTTGGCTTAGCTGTAGGACATGTGTCTTGTCTGTGTGTGAGGCTCATCTGGATGAAGCCAGAATTAAAGGCTCTCTGGGAGAAGAGCCGAGGACCTTGGAAACTATGGCCCTTGTCCATTTGGTTCTTAAGTTGGGTGGGTCGTGCCTGGATTCTCATCTGACCTGCTCCTGGAAACAGCCAATGGTGTTTCAGAGTCTCTGAGGCCAATCAGCCTTTCCCACCAGTAACGGGTCCCAAGCCTAGTAACAAATGCCACGCCAGTGATGATGTGGGGGTGCGTGGTGGGGGTGCCAAGTCATCCTGCACGTCTTGGAACTTTCCAGCCTCCATAATTGATTCTTTTTGATGAATCTCTATTTACTATATACCTGTCTATACATCTACCTGGCTTCACAACTATAAATTTATGTATCTACCTACACATATATAAATTAATGACATCTTTGATTACATATATTTACATATTGATGTATCTATGTACCTGATTCTATACATTATGTATCTAAGTATCTGTGATTCTATATATTATGTATCTATGTTTATTTGTGCCTCTACATATGTATTTACTATGTTTCTGAGATTCTATACGTATGTATCTATATACTTATGTATCTATGGTTACATATGCTTGTGTATCTATATAAGTATATATGTATCTGATTCTATACACTTATGTATCTACACTTATGAAGAGTAGCTACAATACATATCTGTGATATATCTGTGATTTTCTATATTTATGTACGCATTTATGTGTCTGGCTCTACATACTCATGTATTTAAATGTCTGTGGTTCTATCTCATTATATGTCTGTGTCTGCATATTTGCTTACCTATACATCTATGTCTATGTCTGTAGCTGTGTATGTGTACATGGTTACACATGTGTCTCTATGTGTGCATGATTGTATCTATGATTATATTAATTGGCTCCACTTCTCTGGTGAATGTGAGTCTCTCTCAGGGTCTAGATGGGGGGTGAGCAAACAGGTATGTGCAGAGTGTGGCTGCAAAGTAGAGTGTCTGCACACCACCCTCCCTCCCGGTACCGGAACCGTTGAAGAGGCCACCTCTTACTCTGCGGCAGGATTCAGTCCAGGAAAAGTGCCAGTCTGAGGAGGGATAGGTGCGTGAGGGAAGCCAGGAACCCTTGAAGCAGTGTGGGTGTCCCAGTGACCAAAAGGCTTCACCACCTTCCCAGTGTGACCCTGCCAAAACAGCTTCCTGTCCAACTCCCTCTCCCCCGGCCCCCATGCAGAGCAAGTCCAAGCTTCCAGTGGGATCTATTTGCTATTTGGTTTTCTTTCCTATCCATCGAGTACAGTTTTAAATACTATATTTATTAAAAAAAAACAAAAAAAAACCCAAAACAGGGCTGGAGCAATAGCACAGGGGGTAGGGCATTTGCCTTGCACGCGGCCAACCCGGGTTCGATTCCCAGCATCCCATATGGTCCCCGGAGCACCGCCAGGAGTAATTCCTGAGTGCAAAGCCAGGAGTAGCCCCTGTGTATCACTGGGTGTGACCCAAAAAGCAAAAAAAAAATCTGATTTTATATAGTTATGTATTTTAATTCTATGTATTTATGCATCTATATATTTATGTATTTACCCTATACATCCGTGATTTTCAGACATTTAAATACATGAGTACGTAGAACCAGATACACGGATGTGCACTCAAACTTTAAGGGTCTGGTATTTAACACATACCAAAATCCATGGTCTCCCAGGGCCCCTGGGCACCCCGTTCCAGCAGTGACCACTTCCTCCTTAGCCACCATCCTGACTTCTAACAGCAGACACTAGTTTTGCCATTTGGTGAATTTTATCCAAATGGAATCATACAGAGATATTAGACGCGGAATGTTCTCTTTCTGCTTCCCACCCCCCCTCCCCCACCGACATTGCATTGGTGACTCTCTTTGTGTGGTTGGGGTACACTCATTTTGTGAGAAGGATCCACTGTCTAATCTTTGTGTCACTATCTTACTGCTGAGAAGCGTCTGGATTTTTCCTTAGTTAAGGCCGTTATTCTGGCAGGAACATTCCTGTCCAGGTCTGCGGGCAGAGCTGTATAGGCATTTCCTGTCACATTTCACACGAACGGAAACGTTTTGCAGAGAGATGCAGAGGCACATCATCTAAATCCCACATCAGCGAGTTACAACACTCATTCGACAGACCCCAGTCTGTGCATCTGTCTGTCCACCTTTTGCCAAGTGCATTTCAAATCTCATGATTTCATTCATTTCAAATTTAATGACTGATTTCATTCCCCCTTAAAGATCGCAGTGTGCATTTATCTGCCAGAGATGGACACTGGTTTACAATTTTTTTCTTTTGATGTAAAATGAACACGCATGCTATTTCCTGTCAGTTGCAGGCACCCAGGAGAGAGACAGCAAGGGCAGGGGGCAAGCCTGCGTGTTTTCCCAGCAGGTACTCTTGGTGCTGGTCAAAGCAGCTGCCTTTGCTCACTTGTCTGGCAGGACTCGATCAATCAGCCCCCTTTATTCTGGTGACTCCGGGATCCATCGATGGTACAATCCCCCGAGAATGCACAAACACTTGAGAAAGCCATTCCTTTCTCTGCCCCGATGGTCTGCTCTCCACACCCCAACTCTCTCTTCAAAGGATCTGACATTTCTTGTTTTCACTTCTCCTAGACCCAGAGAAGTGAGCAAGGGCTTCTCCACCACCAATCAGAGCTCGGATGCTGACTGAATGCAAGGTGCAGGGTACCGGGGAGGGAGCCGCTAACTTCCTGTCTCTGCAGGGCCAGGAATAGACAGGCCAAGGTCAGTGTAAAGAGACTAAATTGGTGCTGCCTTAAACCCCAAGACCCATCATCCCAGTCACTCGAGCAAAACAAAGGCGCTGTCGCAGAGGCTGCCTGGTTTCCAGGCTTAATTTAGCCTCTTCCCCGAGTTAACCTGAGCTAACTCTGACTCGGGAGGAGAATAAGCAGGTCGTGGTGTTTACTTCCTGAGGGTGCTGCAGCAAACCAACGGGTCCGGAAGAGTTGCACCCCCAAAGTTGGTTTCTAAGGAGTCTGAGTCATCTGCCTGACTTTCCCTGTGGAAACTCTGAAGGCTGGGAGTCATTCTGGATTCCAGAAGGTGGTAAGTGATACAAAGGGTTTCAAGGGAGATGAACTGTTGAAACAGTTTCTTTGCAGGGGGCCGGGGGAGGGGGGGATGTCACAGTTTCTTGGTCGGGGGAGGAGGCGGCAAGGTTTCCAGCCAGACTATAGAGAATGACCAGTCCTGGAGAACAAAAGAGGCGGGGAGAATTGCTTGGACACCAGACAAGTACCAAAGACGGCAAAACAAACCAAAATAAAGCAAAGGCCATGTCAGGGCTGTACATGGTGACACAAGTTCTAGAAGCATTTGTTCATTCACCCACTCCCTCTCCCACTCCTTCCTGCTGGGTTGAGGCTAAGGGATTCTTTGGAGGTAAAACAAAGGTTCTAAACTTACACGTTGCTGATGGCTGCACAACTCTGTGAATATATTAAACAACTAAGATGTCAACATGAGATTGGTGGATTTTGTGGTTGGTAGATTCTATCTACCATTCAGATGCTAAACTTTGCATTTTTGGTGGCGGGAGGTGGGTGGAATAACACCCAGAAATGCTCAGGGGTTACTCCTGCCTCTGCACTCAAGAATTACTCCTGGCAGTGCTCAGAGGACTATTTGAGATGCTGGAAATCGAACCTGGGTAAGTGGCATATAAGGAAAACATCCTACCCACTGTTCTATCATTCCAGCCCCCAAGATGCTAATCTTAAAAGATGAAATGTCCAGAGGCTGAGACAATGACTCAGTGGCAAAGTACAGGTCTTTCATGCACAAGATCTGAGTTCAATCTCAGCAACACACACACACACACACACACACACACACACACACCAGTATCTGAAATGTCAAG